GCATCGCTATAAAGTGAACTACCATTTACTGAGAACCTACCCTGAGCAGTTTGCTTCCCTAACATACTTGGCCTCATTTTTAATCCTGCCAACAATCCTAGGAGGTAAGTATAGGTTTTTCCTCCCTCTGCAAAATGAGGACATTAATATCTCCCTCCAGGTTTATTGGGAGGATTATAAAAAATAAGCATGAAGTATGATGATTTTTATAATTCAGCCAAGAGAGGCTAAGCGGCCTGCCTGAGTTCATGCAGCTAGGATAAGACAGGGCCAGGGCTCAGTCTGGGCTTCTTTTTTATGTATGTATGTACGTATATTTTATTTTATTTTAATCGATGTGGACTTCTCACTTCAACTGGCACACACCCCATTTATGTTCTGCTTTCCTGCGGTATGAGGCCTCATTGGTACCTGGCAGCATGAGGGCAGCAAAAACAGAAAAATGGTCTCCTGCCTGTGTAGCTCAGTCGGTAGGAGGTGACAAGCTGATTGTGGGTTGCAGGAATTAGGCAAGTTATTGAAAACTAGAACAGGCTGGGCCCACAAATCCTATCTGGTGTAACGTACTCATTTTACTGGTAGGGAAATGGAGGTTCCCCCAAATCAGTCAGTAGGATTCACACCCAAGCCTCTAGATTTCCAGTGCTTTTATTTAGTTATCTTTCACAGTCGGAGGGCAAAGAGGTCTGTGAGCAGGGGCAGGCTGGACAGACCTTTCTTTGAGCCTTCTGTCCCCGTCCTGAGCTTGCAGGGCCTGTCTCATACCCTCTGCCTCCCCACATTCCACCTAACGTGGGGCTGGGCTCTCAGTAAACGGCTGTGGGACTGAATTGTGAGGGTTGCCCTTGGCCCAGGGTCCTCATCCCCACCCATCTTCAGATATCGACGAGTGCAGCTACTCCAGTTACCTCTGCCAGTACCGCTGCGTCAACGAGCCAGGTCGTTTCTCCTACCACTGTCCACAGGGCTACCAGCTTCTGGCCACACGCCTCTGCCAAGGTACAGGGGGCCAGGGGGTGGGGGTGGGGTCGGGGTGCGAGGGGGAGCCGTGGGCTGGTGGCCTGACGCCCCAGATTCCAGCCCCTCTCCTCCGGCACAGACATTGACGAGTGCGAGTCGGGGTCCCACCAGTGCTCTGAGGGCCAAACCTGTGTCAACTTCCATGGGGGTTACCGCTGCGTGGACACCAACCGCTGCTTAGAGCCCTACATTCAGGTGGCCGACAAGTGAGTGAACGCCACGCTAGGCCCCCCTCAGAAACTACAACTCCCAGAGGGCATTGGGGCTGACTGGTGTCTGTTGGGGGAGCGCGTGCACCTGAGGGCTGATGGGAGTTGTAGTTCTTCAATGAGGAAACCATGCAAACTGTTATAGCCGGAGTGAGAGGATCCTTTTGGGATGCCCTTTTTGGGAGTGGATGAAATTTGGGGAATGGCCTAGTACTTCATTTGTGTCCCCCATCTCGGGGTGTCTAGCCGCTGCCTCTGCCCGGCCTCCAACCCCCTGTGTCGAGAGCAGCCCTCGTCCATCGTGCACCGCTACATGAGCATCACCTCGGAGCGGAGTGTGCCTGCAGACGTGTTCCAGATCCAGGCGACCTCCGTCTACCCCGGCGCCTACAATGCTTTTCAGATCCGTTCCGGAAACTCGCAGGGGGACTTCTACATCAGGGTAAGGCTCTCCCCTACTCCTCTCCTCAACTAACATAAATAATCTGAAACTGAATTCCAGGAAGCCTGAAGGGAGAGACTGGCTGCCACTACCCCGCCTCTTCTCTCAAAGCCACGCCCCGGGAGGTGGGATTTTTATAGGAAGATAGGGGTATTCTAAATCTGCACAGTACAAACTAGAGACTGTTAAATGCACTTGGACATTGGGATTTGAGTCCCGGTACTGGTTTCCCCAATCTGGACTCAATTTCTTTACCCATAAAAGGAGGGAATGGTGTGAGAGGCTTGTGGGGGGGCCTGGGGTCAGAGAATCTCCCCTTGTGGAGCTGATCCGTGGGAGGGCTCCAGAGGCAGCTCTGGTGAGGAGTGGGAGGGTCTCAAAGCCCTGGCCCTGGTGCTGAGCTCAGCTTGAGAAGGGGTTGTTTTATGTCAGCGCTTGTTTTTTTCTTTTTGAAATTGAATGCTTTGAAGGGGACTCTCCCCACTCCAGGTCACCAAAGGCCCCAACACTCTCTAGTCACACCTAGCTTTGATCATCAGTTAGCCCTGTTTAGACAAATGAACTAGCTGGGAAGGGTGGGAAGAGCACCTGGGAGATTTTGGAGGGCAGGAGCCTGGGTGTTGGAGGGGAGGGGATAGACATCAAAGGTGTCAAATGGGTGGATGAGAGTCTGGGTCAGAGCCTGGCCAGGGCTTGGCTCCACAGTCACAGAGCAGGAAGGTGATGCTGGGGAAGGGTCCTGGCATGTAGGCTGACACAATCTACATGTCCCCTGCCCACTGTGCCCTGCAGCAAATCAACAATGTCAGCGCCATGCTGGTCCTCGCTCGGCCGGTGACAGGCCCCCGGGAGTATGTGCTGGACCTGGAGATGGTTACCATGAACTCCCTCATGAGCTACCGGGCCAGCTCTGTACTGAGACTCACCGTCTTCGTGGGGGCCTACACTTTCTGAGGAGGAGGGGGTGGGAACCCTCATAAGGAGGCCACCCTCCCCACAACCCGCTATAGCCAAGGAGCCTGGGGCTCAGCAATGACTGTGTTTTGCTACAAGGGAAGATGTTGTCAAGGGCAGCAAGAGAAAGGCAATAAAGGAAGAAAGAAGGCGTCCTGGTGACCAAGGTGGGTGGGTAAACTATAGTGAAATGCAAACTGGGGAAAGGGCTGGGCTTGTGGGAGGCAAGCCAAGTCCACCTAACGGGGGTCTCTGTGCTCAGGCTGAGGGGACCCATCAATGGGAGCTGGGAGCTACATACCACAGGCTTCAGAATCACCCTGAGAGGGGAGGAGGTAGGGAAGCATGCACGATGTAGGCCCCAGCCCAAAGATTTGGGCTTGGCTGCTTTATAGGGGCCTGAGAAACCCCACTCTGGACAGCTCCAGGAGGCCCTGGGTTCCAGTCCTAGATCTGCCTCAAGCTATACATTTGGACAAGCCCTAGGAGCTCTCTGGGCCTCTTTTCCAATCCAAAAAATGAGGCAATTGGACTGTGAGTGGTTTTCAAGCTTTCCTTTTCCAAGCTACAGAATTTATCGAAAGTGATTTTTTTTTTTTTTTTTTTCCCCAAAAGATGACCAGTAAGGGGATCTTAACCCCCGACTTGGTGTTGTCAGCACCACGCTCACCCAGTGAGCAAACCGGCCATCCCTATATGGGATCTGAACCCGTGGTCTTGGTGTTATCAGCACCACACTCTCCCAAGTGAGCCACAGGCCGGCCCTCAAAAGCGATTTTATGTGATCAGAGAGCATCTGATTACACAAAGTAGATTCAAAGGTGCAGTGCCTCACTGATGCCATCCCCTGACCAGGGAAACCATGAAGAACTTGTTTAAAAACCCCTGGACCATGCTGATAACACCAAGGTTAAGGGTTTGGAACCCATACCAGCCAGCCACCAAAAAAAAAATAATAATAATCCAACAAAAAAAATCAAAACCTGGGCCGGCCCGGTGGCGCACTGCTACAGTGCGCCGCTTGGGAAGCGCGGCGGCGCTCCCACCCGAGGGTTTGGATCCCACATACAGACCGGTTCCCGCTCACTGGCTGAGCGAGGCGCGGGAGCAACACCGAGGGTTGCAATCCCATTGCCGGTCCCCGGTCCGGTACGGGGGCAACACTGAGGGTTGCGATCCGTTGCCGGACACGGAAAAAGACAAAAGACAAAAAAAAAAAAAAAAA